CAGAATTACATAAAGATTCAGGATATTTGAAAATTCTATTAAATGTATATGCAGCAGATTCAATGAGAATCTGCTTCACCATCAATGTGAAGATAGATTATCAGATAGAATATCAGTTCTAGAAGACAGGGTTGTAACTGGTGATCACCAAATGAAAATTTCTTAAAAATTCAACGGACCATCAAAAATTAATCCAACATCTGCTAAATGATGCAAAGAAGTTTAGTATAAATTTAATTGGAATCAATGAAAAATCAGAGCCTAACAAAAAGGCCAAAATATAATGTTCACAGAAGTAATAGCAGAAAACTTTTCCAGCATGAAAAAAGAATTTGACATACAGATAAATGAGACATATTGAACTCCAAATAGCAATGATCAGAAAAAACTATGCCAAGGCATGTACTAGTCAAAATTTCAGAAATTCAACACAGGAATGGAACATTAGAAGCTGTTAGAGAAGAGGAATGAATCACGTATAAGTAAGATTCATCAGAATCACAGCAGACTTCTCAACACAACACCCAAAGTCAAGGAGAGGTTGGAGTAAAGTATTTCAAGCCCTGAAAGAAAAGAACTTTCAACCCAGATTGATGCACAATAGAAAATTATCTTATAAAATTAATGGAGAATCACATAATTCCATGATAATGAACACCTGAAGAAGTTTATAACCACAAAACCACAAAACCAGCACTCCAGAAATTCTGAAGGATAGCAATGTGAATGGTCTCAATTCACCAATCAAAAAAATAGATTGGCAGAATAGTTTAAGAAATAAGATCCAACAATACGTAGAATACATGAAACCTCTTTAAGTCAAAAAGAAATTCATAGATTGCTAGTCAAAGGATGAAAAACAATACTCCAGATAATGGGAAATCAGACACAAGGCAGGAGTAGCTATTCTAATTGTAGACAAAGTGGATTTCAAGACAAGACTGATCAGAAAGGGCTTCAGGATTTAGCTCAGTGGCATAGTCCCTGTCTTGCAAGTGCAAGATCCTGAGTTTTATCCCCCTACCCCCAATACCATAAAACAAAAAATAAAAAATAAAAATTAAAAAGAGCAGACAAAGACAATCACTACATACTTGCTAAAAATAAAGAATCCAAAAAGAAGAGAAAACAATCATAAATATATATGCACCAACTACCAATCCACCCAATTATAAAAAGCACTAAAAATAGGAAAAAAATCAAGATAAGTACTAATACAATAATAAGGGGGACTGTCAACACCTCACTGTCACAAATAGACAGATTAACTCAATATAAAATCAACAAAGAACTATCAGAGTTGAACCACACCTCTGAACAAATGGACTAAATAATGCCAAGCCTCCCACCTAGACAGAACAGTAAAACCATTTCACAGGAGCTGCACACGGAGCTCTTTATAATTTTAAGAAATGTACAACAGAAAGCCAGAACACAAATTCGAGGAAAATATGCCCACCACACCCAGCAACACCTATAAGCATTGACGCCCAACAACCACAAGAGACATCATGTACTCCAACAGACCTCCCCCTCTCAAGTCTCAAAAATTTCCATTCTCCCCTAATGACCTCCACTCCCCTACCTAAACTACTTTATAAAAGTTTTCCCTCACCCCACACTTGAGGCCAAGATTCCTTTTGCCTTTGGCTCAAAATAAACTCCATTTCTTACATCAACTTTTCCTGACTCAGTGGGGTAGTATTGGTCGCGACTCAGGTTACCCTAACAAATAGATGTCTACAGTGTTCCACTCAACACCAGAATACACATTCTTCTCAGCACATGGGAGTTCCTCCACAATAGACCAAGTACTCGCTCACAGAACATTCTTATGTAAATGCCAAGGAACTGAAATTATAATATGCATATTATCAGATCACAGTGCAATGAAATAGGAAATAAATGGCAAATGAAACCACAAAAAGGACATAATCACATGGAAATTTAAAAATACCCTTTTCAATGACCAATGGGCCACAGATGAAATTAAAGAAGAAATTAGACCATGTCAACTGAAATTGTTGCAGAAATCTTGGAAAGAAATACACGGAGACACAAAATTCGGATAAAATAATAAAATTTTTTCTTGCGAGTGGACGGTGAAAGGTCGCCGAAGAAGGGGGGCACACACGGACGTTCAAGCAAGCTTTATTGGGGGGGCAGTCTGCAGCCTGCCGGGCTGACTCACAGAATGGAAACCAGCAACTGCATGGGCTGAGCTGGAAGCTTATGTAGGGATCTTGCAGGTGGGAGAGCACTAGTCCATTGGTGGGGGTGGGGGATTGGGGCTGGGGTATGTAGCAACAGGTTTTTTGGGGGGTGATGGAGTCACCACTTTTGGGAAGCCCCTATCTTACTGGAACATCTGACCATGAAACCGGTGGGGCAGAAAGACCTTAACTAGGCAGGGAATCACTAACAAAGGGAGGTCAGTGTTGTGCCCAGTTTACAAAGTCCCAAAGACCACCAGGAGGCCGTTTCTGATGTAAGCACACGAGGGTCGTTTATTCAAGCTTAAGCAGGGACTCCCAATTGTCACCGACACAGCGGATCGAGATTGAGAGCCCCGAGTTTCAAATTAGTAGGGTTTTTATTGAGATTACAGCAAGCTTCGGTCATTAGCAGCCATGTGATTGGTTAACATTTACCAAGTATGACGTGTAGAATTTTGATTGCCTAGGCTCATTGGGGGTTGAAGAGGATTACATATAGGTTTTTACAAGAAAAATGGGGACAAAGGTTAGTGGTCTACTGTCACGTACTGATGGTCAGCAGACATCTTGACTAATGGTCATGACCACCTTGTGTGGATAGTCAGCACGTTAACACATTGTCCTATAGATAGTGGGCCCGGGACACTTGTTTCTAGGGCAAACAGATGGCTGAGTAACGAGCTTAGGAATCTTGAGTTACAGATCATGTCTTTTGTCCCAGATTAAGCACATTTAATCATTAATTTGAAAGAACAAAGGAAACTGCTCCATTTTGGACAAAATGGAGTCATTCTGGTCTCACATTAGCAAAATGGAGTCACTTTTGGTCTCACAGTCAGGCCTTAGCTATGCGGAAGTTCCCTGTTCCTTGTGGCCGGAGTGGGGCAAAGGGAAAGGAGAGGAGGGTGCTTGCTCTGTGGGGGCTCTGAAATACCTAACAGACGGGAATGCCAGAAACCTGTCTGGTGAGTATGTGTGCCCCCTTGTTCAGCATTTCCCTTTTTATATCCTTTTCAGCCATTGTCTCATCGATGACCTAGTGGTCTTTGATGTGTAAATACAATTCCAGTTCCTATTTACATGTCACAGAAACAAGATAGGCACATATACATTGTAAATTCTCCCTGGCATGGTAACTTTGTTAGGTTAATGAAGTTACTGGTTAAAGAGGCAGATAACAGTCACCTTAAACAAGGAGTTATGGGAAAAGCAAATCTTAAAAGAACACCTTACTTATTTTGCTTCTACAAATACCTTAATATTCAATCTATTGTTATCTAAAACTTTTCCTTATCAAAATATATACATACAAAAAATCTGTTTAAAGTATTCATAGAGAAAAACTCATTTATATAGTTTTCTGAAGAAAGAATTGAGGTATTTGGAAGTTTAGTGAGAACAGATACCTAAGGTAAATGTGAACTGTAGTGGTATTTTATTGTTTTTGTTATTACAGGAAAAAATACCTAACATATAGAGCTTAAGAAAAAAAGTTTTATATGTCTTATTATTTAAAAGATTTTAGTTTTCATTTGATTACTTCTAATGCAGAAACATCATGGTATATAAATGAAGAAAAAGAAAACTATTTTCTGCGAACCAGGAACGAAAGAGAAAGGAAAGAGGGTTAGAGGAAGGGCCCAGGGGTCAGGTTTGGTCTTTCAGGACACACTATCATGACTCAGCCATGCACATCTAGAAGTATGCTTTATATTATTAATGTGCCACACAGCTCTCAAGCCAAAGAAGTTATTACTAAGGGTGTATCACCTGACTCAATGTAATATTTTTCTTTTAGGAATATAAATGTTGAAAGGTGGAGAATTTCAAGCAGTGATTGGCCATTACAGGGCATGGGGAAACATACAGTCTAAAGTCCTTTTGTATCCCAGCCTCATTACCAGGAACTGATCAGGTTGATCAAGTGTGGGGCTCTTTTTCAGCAATCTTTCTGGCCATCACGCTTTTCTATATGTTTATCTTCAGGATTCAGACATTTTTTTATGACTCTGGGTAAAATATGAAGTTTGTCTGAGGGAGTTGGAATGTTTTTCTTTCATCTCTGCTCTTCTGCAGAATACTGCTATCTTACAACTCTTATTTCTTCATTTACTCAATTACTGTATTCCTCTTGGGGGCCATACATTTATGTTTTGGATGACAATGAGTAGACTGAGAGAAAAACTGAAAATCTTGGCAATGAATCCTACTGCCTCATTCTGTGAGACCAACAGTAACTCCATCTTGCTGAAATTCACCATTCTCCTCCTCTCTATTGTTCTTGTAAGCTAATGGTTAAAATGTGCTTGCTCAGGGGCAAAAAGACACAATCTAAAACAGGGCCAAATTCCTAAGTTTATTACCCAGCCATCTGTCTACCCAGAGAAAGAGCGTTCCAGGCACACTATGTATAAGATAAGCAGTTAATGTACTGACTATCCACACAAGATAGACATGATCATTAGTCAGTGGGTCTGCTAACCATCAGTATGTGACAGTCGGCTGTTAACCCTTGCCCCTTTCTCCCTTGCAAAAACCTATACGTAATCCCCCTCAACCCCCTATAGACCTAGCCAATCAAAAGTATACACTTCATGCTTGCTAAATGTTAACCAATCATATAGTTGCTAAATAGAAACCCCTAACCTTGCTGTAACTTCTATAAAAACCTTGCTAATTTGAAACTCGGGGCTCTCAATCTTGACCCGCTGCGTCGGTGACAGTTGAGAGTCCCTGCTCGAGCTTGAATAAACGACCCTCGTGTGCTTACATAGGAATCGGCCTCCTGGTGGTCTTTGGGACTTCACGATCTGGGCACAACAGTTCCCAACAGCAGATCTCCCTTTATTTCATTTATTGCCGGTCCAGCCTGGACTTGTGATGTATTCTGATATAAGGGGACTGATACTTTCATAGGACATTGACCCTGGAACCTTCTAAGGACACTTGTGATCCACTTTCAGGAAGAGTCCACTGAGTCTATTAAGAAACCAGGGAAGCTCTGAAAAACAAGGAGTAAAGCCCTTCAATGCAAGTATTCCTCATGCGAGATGAGTTTGATATCGCAGGAGAGAGACTGGTTCAGAATTTCCTGGGTGACCATTTGATTACTAGTTGAGCTCCACTCCTGCTGGTAGAGAATTGTTTCTCTTGTCACTCTCAGCTCAGGGTGCTGGCAATGGGACAGGAGCCAATCAGCGATGAAGGTGCGGGCTGTCTGAACTACCCAATCAGGTGGGCTGAGGGAGGAAGGCGGGCCCTTCCTGTATCATGGCGGCTAAGTGTACACCGTGAGAGGTTTGCTGAGAGTCCTCAGCTACCACATTTTTCTGTATTTTCTACTGGATGTGAGCTGAATTCAAAGGATTCTGGGGGACCCACAAACCACGCAATGGTAATATTGTGCAGAAGAAGCTGGGGATGGGATGGAATCGGGTGCATTTTGAAAGGAAGTACCCAGAACTAGCTGAGAATCTGCAGCCTCCCTGCTTAGCTCCAGACACCGAGGTCTTCTTAGTGTTTGGTTCTGCATCATCATCTGTCCGTTTTCCCTTTTATTCAGGCAGGGCGAGTTTCAAGTCCTGTAGTTTCAAGTTTCAAGGTTCCTGTGTCCTGTAACTGTGACACTGCCAGCCCAAAATGCTTTATTGGGCAGCTGCAGGCAGATCTGTTTCTCCACCAGTCTGAGGAGAGCAGGAGCTTTGGTGAAAAGGGAGCGCTACTCTGGGTTTTTTTCCTTGTTTGCTTTAGTAATAATAATGAGAGTAGGACACTTCTTAACAATAATTATATGATATAATTATAATTAATATATAAATTACGTATGTTATGTAACCATATCATAATTATATTATTATTATTGTTAAGAAGTGCCCTACTTTGATCATACTATTTGGCTTATATCAGCAGGACGAGGGGGATACAATGGAAATCTTCAATTAGCAGACACGAGACTGAGTAGTTAGCATTAGGGTTAGAGTTAGGGTTAGCCCCACCAAGTTTGTCTGTAGTATACATCTGAAATGTCATCATAGGTCCTGTAAAACAGCTTCACATTTATGATTTCAATTGAGTGGTGTGATTCAGCCTCAGAAGAATTCAAACTTAGAGGAGATATACTTTTTGAAAGGGAGAGAAACTTCTGAGGTGCTTAGGATTTATTATAGAGCTGACTCCATCCTTTAGTTGTGTGGGTGTACAGAAATAGTTTTAAAAAGATGAATAGAAGTGTGAATCACTAGGAATGGAGCTGCTGCAGCCTATACTAAACTGGATTGATAAGGGAAGCAATGCCCAGAAAAAAAATGGACAATTCACATTTGATATTTTTGGATAAATTTTGTCATTCAGAAATAAATTTTTGACATCTTTGATTTATCCTGATAAAAATAATTTAATGCTTTAAATCCTGGATCAGCATGAAGTACTCTTGACTATGACAATCTACAGAGTGTTGGAAAGCAGGAGTCTCACATACAGATTATTTTGTGGGGTTCTTCTGTCTGAGGATGTGAGTCTCATTGTCATAGGGCTCTTACTGGAAAATGTTTGCTTTGTCACCTGCAAAGATTTGATAGAATCAGAAAATAATTACTATATATAAAGAATATCTGTGAAGCACATGTTTAGCAAAAAAAACACAACACAGTGTTTTGTGATGATTAACTGTGATATGAATTTTTGATAAGTAAGCACCTCCTAGCCATTTGTAAAGCTCTGTGTTTCTCTGTGGAAGACTAGTTTGTAAAACAGGAGGGATGGCCCACCTTGTATGTGGTTGACAATAACCAATAGGCTTGTACCCAAGATGGAATAAAAAGGAAAAAATTCTCTTATTTTTCTGTGGAGGACCTCTGGTATTTGCCATTGCCTCTAGAATTTGCCATTACCTGTTTGCTGGTCTCAAGTTTCTTCAGGCTCCTACCATTAAGTCTTCAGCCTTCCAATGGAGAGTCTTCAGCAGAAAAAGAGGCTGAGAGAAACAGGCCATGCACCAGATGTGATCTCCTGGGTCCTGCTTCCTTGACTCAGTGAGACATGTCTTTACTAACAACCTAGGTATGTCTCCAACTAACCAATGTGACAATAGAAGTCTAACCACCAGGTAACATCAGGTGAGAATATTTCTTTAGTGACATTAATATGCCAAAGGAGAGATGCTTTCATCCTGTGAGGAGGAAAAAGCATATTTTGGAAATTTACTGCATTAAGTTTTTCCTTTCTCTGCCTCATCACAGGGAGTGAGTGAGGGTGGGGCTACATTAGAGCTATCATTCTAGTCTACCTGCTATGATTAGGGTTCATAATTCAGGATTTCCTTATGACTTAAGTTAAAGTAACTTGCCTGTCTGAGGCACTTGAAAATTTAAATTCCATCTTGATGCCTTTGTGTAATACTACTAACATATTATGCCAATTTGTTCATTCAGTAAATAATTATATTCCCTGTTGGCATGCTTTTGTTTTCTTTACTGAAGATGATTAGATTAAGAGCTGATGTTTGTGAAGCTGAGTGTCTCCTTCAATTTCCTGTCCTCTGACTACCTTAGTACTCCTACTGCATTGTGTTCAGCCTTTGCCTGGGCACAGATTCTTCTTTGGGTTTGGTGGTTTTTCTCTAAATGTCACTGAATCTGGAAGTACAGTCACAGAGCTGTGATGCCATTGGCTAGGACAAGAAATAGAAAGAGCCCCCAGAGTACAGTAAGTAGATGTTAGCACTCTGCAAAGCTAGGAGCAAATCCTATTTCAAGTCACTGATCCAGCAGGCTGGGTCAAGTCAATGATCTAGGTGGAAGCCTGGGTGGGTAAAGGGTTTGTTTAATCTATCATTTGGACTGCATTAAGGGGATAGTGTATTGTCTTTTTTTTCTCTTTGGCTCAGTCAGCAGATCATGGAGCAACCTTGCATCAGTGAAAAAGAGTTTTGGCTGCATGAGCTGTCAAGAGAGATTGGATGGCCAGAGAATAGAATCCTCCTTTGTCAGTCACATAAGTCAGAAGCTCCCAGTGTGTTGCTGAGAGACTCCCAAGTTGGATTAGCCTGACTTGCTCTATGGATTCTACCGATTGGCTGCATGTGAAGGACCTGGGAGAAGTCAGTCCCCAAGAAGGTGATTGTAGGACCAAATGCCCAAAGACAGAAGTAGAATTTGTCTTAGAGGCATAAGTTCTGGGTG